TAGGGAAAGTTCAACTTATTCTGCAGGTTCAGAATTATAGAAGGCCTATGCCTGCATTGTAGAATATCACTTAATATCACTTAACAACTTAAAAAGTTGTGTTGCAAAATCTAAATACTTCTGGCATTCTGCCCATTGGAAAGGCAATAGTTCCAAGACTTGCTAAACACAGTTTTCTGGACAAATTGAAATTCCAGTTCATAATGTAATCCCTCTGGAAGGGTTATTCTACCAGTAACTTAATTGTTAGCAGGTCAGGAGCAAGATTCCAGGTTATAGTAGTCATATCTGTGAAAACAAGTGCTAAACAGAGGTAAAAATAATAGTAAAGAATGGAACTGTTACTAAAGGAATCGAGAATATCATCATGACATCTAAATCCATTATGTGCCTGCATCTTGAGGAGAGTTCTCATTCCCCCATCTCCAAAAGGGTAGCAGAGATTGAAAAGGTTCAGAGAAGAACGGCAAGGATGATCAAATGTAAGTAATGGCTTCCTTGCAGGGAATGATCTTTTAGGGTTAGAATTCTTTGATCTGAAAATGAGAAAACCAAGGGAGAAATGTGATGGATCATTTCATCTATGAAGTGATGAGTGTCCTGAAGAGGTACTGATTCTTTGTTGTGAAAGTGTGTGTAATACCTACTCTGTGACCTGTCTCTCTGATTTTCCAGGTGGTTGAAAAGCTGATCCGAGGTTTAGCAATGGAAGACAGCCGTAATATGTTTGCGCTCTTTGAACATAATCAGCAGGTGGACCGTGCTGTTGAGAGTCGGGTGATTGTGGCTGATATTCTGGCCAAGTTTGAGAGGTAGAAAAATGTCTTTTAACTCCTAGTTGGATGTAACACTGGTTTAAGTGATAGTACGGTCAGGTAGTTTTAGCCAAAGCAGCTGCAGTGATTCAACTGTTCACTCTGGTTTGAACTTCCCTTTAATAAGGTTCAAGTGCTTTTTCTCACTGTGTGGAAAACCATGTTCACATCTACTTTGGTGACAAAGAAGCATTCTTTATCAGGCTCATCAGGACAAAATTAATAGTGCCTTTATCAAAGGGTAACGGTTTACTAGCAGAGCTCAGGGAAGGTTTGCGTAAGTCTGATAACGATCTTGTCAATGTGCATCATAATAGCTATATCAGAGAGAGAGCAAAGATTTTGGCATGGAAATGCAGCTCTAATTTCTTACTGTGGACTGTGATTTTGAGGCCAGATGTATAAAGCAAGCAATAAATTGTGAAAGAAGCTGGCAATGCTATTGTCTATTTTATATCTGTTCTAAAGACAAAAATGAAACTGTTCTAAGTGGTGGCAAGGCTGATGCTCTTTAGAGTCACAAGATTACATGGGAGGAGTATCTTGAAAATGGGGAATACCTTGTGTCCTGCCCTCAACTCTTACATTTATCTAGAACCGTTGATCTAACTTTATGATCAAGTATCTCTGATAAGAACTTTGAGTCCTTTTGAATCAAAATTTCATGTGACTCAGAGGAAAAAATGGAATTTACCAGAAAATTTACCAGCCAGTGCTGCACTGACGTTATCCTGGTAAATTAGGTAATCCTACATGTTTCAAAAACCCAGGGTGAGTCGCACTGTTGACATCCCAGTACCGTGGTGCTTCTGGTTACTGTTTTTTTTCACCTCTCATTCTCTTTCCTATCTTACAGACTTGCTGGCTCTGAAGAAGAAGAAGAAGAAGGACAGTGGCAGCTGTATTTTAAGCTTTATTGCTTCTTGGATATTGAGAATGTTCCCAAAGATGGGGTGGAGTTTGCCTTCATGTTTGAGCAGGTAAGCTCACTCTGGGAGAATGATTTGGTTTCCAGGGTGGCAGAAGCACACAAGAGTATAAAGAAAACTAGGTTACCTTTGTATTAGAAGTGGGAATGCTGGTTTGAACAGAAGAATTCAGTGCGTTGGGTTTTTGCCTGGAATCTACCAAGGAGATCATTCCCTACAGAACTTTGCAGTGTGAGTATTAGAACAAAAGCGAGAAAAATGAGCAAGGGCTTCAAAAAAACTGGAAGACCAATGATAATAAAATGCTTTTAAAATTTACCTTTAGATTTAAGAGATACATAAATTTGGATAATGATTCAGGAAGAATCATTAAAAGTAGCTGTTCGCAGAACATAGGTGTAAAGTACTACAGAAAAAGGAAAAGAGAATGTAGTTGACAATATTTATCTGCTGAGTAATCTCTTTTTAAGTCACTTTGCTCCAGAGCACAATGATGCTGGTTAGGCCTAAGATCACACTGGTATGAAATAACCTTGCAATCAGGGATGCAAAACTAGACTGACTGGAGTACCCAGCTGTGTGATTCATCCCATCTTTCTTCTCATGAAATCTTTGATCTTGCCTCAGAAAATTATAGCTGTTGAAAAGTAACCAACATGTGTTAAAAGGGTGTAAGTAAGTGTCATGAAGACTGAAACTCACTGACAGTCAAATGGATGGCATGTACATCACACAAAATCATAGAATAGAATAGAATCACGGAATCTTTAAGGTTGGAAAAGACCTCTAAGATCATCAAGACTAACAGTCAATCCAACACGACCATGCCCACTAAACCATGTCCCGAAGTACCACATGTACAATGATGCTGAGACAATGGTTCCCTAAGATGGCCTTTCTTGAAATGAAAATTAAGTATTGTTAACTACAGAATGTCTAGGAATCTGTCAGGAACAAGACATCATGGCACTCTGTGGAAACTCAATTGTACCAAACTCCCTGTTGACAAGGCTTTCAGTCGGCAGAGCTTTCACAAGCAGAGCAGTGGAAAAGAAGGAGCAGTAGGAGGGTGGATGTTATTCAGACTTTAAATGGATGTAGCAAAAACCCCCATAAATATATTTCACAGAAAAACAGGCAAAGGGAAGCAAGAAGATTGGGGAGACACCAGGTGAAAGAGGAGGAGGTGGGAGGTGCTGGTGTGCAAGGAGACTGAGGTTAAGAATCTTTAGTTTATTACATCTAACTCTCTGGTGTTGAATATAATCTCCACACAGGAGCTGTAGCTAATACAGCAGAAAACAAATTGCCTCGATTCTGTTGTCTCCCATCTGTTCCAGACCTAAAAAGTCCTCATTGTAAGACTTTCAGTACAGGATAGGGGCCCCACAGAGATCTCTGTCCTCTCCAGGCTTGCAGAAAGAGGTGTTCCCCCAACATTGACCAGTTGCACACTTTGACTTCTTTATTATGTCTGTTCTGACCTCCTGAATTATTGTCTTTCCTGCTGGGGTGGGCAGATGCCATAGTAATCTTTAGGTGGACCCAGCTGTGCATAGTGTGCTTCTGCTTTCTAATGAGTTTGGGGCACTTTTTGTTTGTTTGTAGGCTCACGAAAGCCTCATAGATGGTCATTTTCCTGCACCAGAGGACACTCTGCAGCGCCTAGCAGCTCTACGGCTGCAGTACCTTCATGGAGATTATTCTAAAATAAGTTGGACCCTGGATGGAATTTACCCAGTTAATAGACTGAAATCCAAAATACTGCACTCAACAAAGAGCAGCGGCACTACCAGTCACACCCTGGAGAGGAGACGGACCAGCTTCCTTGAAGGGACGTTGAAACGTAGCTTCAAGACGGGCTCTGTAAAGAAGCAGAAGGTAGAAGAGGAGCAGATGATGGAGATGTGGGTAAAGGAAGAGCTTTCAGCAGCTCGAGCAAGCATAGCGCAGAAATGGACCAAGCTGCAGGGACTCTCTCAGCATCAGGCCATGGTCAAATACATGTCCATTGTAAAGGAGTGGCCGGGTTATGGGTCAACCCTCTTCGATGTTGAGGTGAGTGATGTACAAACTCACGTAACTACTGCTGAGAAGAGGTATCAGTCTGGAGAACAGATAAAGCAGTGTCTACTGCATTGCTCAACAGCAGAAGGGGGTTTCAGGAACTGGGTGCATTTTGCCTTAGTAAGCTTAAGGTAAGTCTGCAGTACCCCATACCCAGAGAGGTGTGATGCAGAGAGCACAGAGCAAGCAAGCTGGGAGACAGTGGACTCCCGCTTCATTAGAAGAGCAGTAGAATTTGGGAAATTGTTCGGGGCTTAAGAAGGTGGTAGCTAGTAGAAGCAAAAGTAAAACGAAGCTCTATCGTCCTTACCAGCAAAAGGTGCAGTCCTGTTCTGTAGCAGTACAACAGAAAGGGTACTTTTGTACAAAAGGTACAAATACTTAGCAGAAAGGTGTAGCATCAGACAGGGTCACTTAGACCGCTGTGCTTAGTCTGCCAGAAGTTCTGTCAGTTTTGTTGCTGCCTGGGTGAATTACCATGGGAAGTTGCTTGCAGTCACTGTATTACCTGTAAAATAATAAGTGGGATATGGACTTCCTAAATCACTTCAAAATCTGATGAGAGCTGTTAAGTATTACAGTTCTTTATTACTCAACTTGCATTTGACTCATAGCTATGTTACTTCTAAATCTTTGCAGCAGGAGTGCCTACAAGATTCCTTCTGCAGGCATCCTGTTTTTTTCTATTGGGGTGAAGGGTTGAAGGAGCCAGAAATGGAGTGCTTTTCCTTGAATCAAAGACAGTTTGATCCTCCACTGCATTTATGCAAAATTTCATGTTTCTCTTCTTGCAGTGCAAGGAGGGTGGATTTCCAAATGATCTTTGGCTTGGAGTCAGCACAGAGAATGTGTCTGTCTACAAACGAGGGGATCCTAAACCACTAGAAACTTTCCAGTATGAGCACATTGTTTTCTTCGGAGCACCACAGCCTAACACCTTCAAAATTACAGTGGATGAGAGAGAAATGTTCTTTGAAACATCCCAGGTACACAAAAGCACAAGACTTGTTGTATATGCAGTTTTACTAGCACTTCAGTAAAGCTCTTAAGTTCCGTGGACTAGACAAGTTTATATGCGAGAACTCTAGCTGAATGCACTGGACAGCCAAGGAAAAAGATGAAGGCAGCTTAAGCCTTAAATGCCATGGTACCTCTACAGGGAAAACAGAACAAAAAGGTTCTGGTTAGAAAGTGAAAGAGGGTGAATGGTCTTTTAGTGCAGTGGGAATTTCAAATTTTGGGTGCTCATGAGCGTGCTTGGTTTTTTCATTCCCTTACAGTATATGAATGGGGGAGTTAACAAACTAAAAAAAAAAAAAAAAGTTTTGGAGCATTAAAGTTGCTTTTCTTTGAGCTACAAGCTTTTTGAGTGTCACTACAACTGAGCACAAACTTGTCAACCATTTCTTTCCTTAATGTCATGTTCACATTTAGCATTACATGCAAAGTTTGTAGTGCCATAACTTCGGACAAGGCGAAGCTTTTCCTGCAAAATATCTGGTATGCTTCAATGGAATAGGTTTTAATGTGCTTATCCTCTGTTCTTGTGTTCTAGGTGGGCGAGATAATAAAGATCATGAAAGCATACATCAACATGATTGTGAAGAAACGCTGCAGTGTCAAGTCAGCCGCCAGCGTGGACAGTCGTGCTAGCATCTGGACGAGGTGATATGAATGAACTGCCACGAGAGAGAGGCAGTTGTTTAATGATTGGTGTTTGCAACTTGCCAGCACAAGTGTAGCAAAGATGTTTTTTAAGAACTCGACTGACTACTGTATTTAAAAACTGAAGTGACATCTGCAGTACCATAGGATTTGCACCTCTGCCCAAAGACATTAAACCGCAGCAACTGTTGTTAAATATGGCCCAAAACTTGTTTTCCCCCTTGCTTGTTTAACAAACAGTGTACCTTAAAGAAGCAACATCGGAAGCATCCTGCTTCTCCTGCCTGTCCTCTCTGCTACTTTCACCATTACCTGTAATACTGGCAGAAAAATTCACAAGAATCATTTCTGCACTAAAGGAGGCAAACTTAAGCTTCCTTATGAATTTCCAACATGCAAACATCTGGGATCATGGGATCGCAGCATGCTCTGCTAAAAGAATATTTGGTTTTTATTTATTTTGCAAGCAACTCTAAACTCGTAAGTCTCTGGGGGGGATAGAGTAATGATCTAATCTGGTCTTAAAAGAAAACGCCTTTGTATAATTGAAGCCAAGTGGTCCATCTAAGAGGTCAAACCCTACGTGAGAGAGCATTAAACAAACCAACCAACCAACCCCTCTGAGGTCATTCTTTACCTTCCAGTAGAAGTTCACAGGTACACAACTGTAAAAAGTGGCACTTTAAGCTAACATTCTAAGTACTCCAACATACGAGAAAATCTTTGGGACTAGCACCACTGAAATAGATCATCAGGTGCTGTTCTGGGTACATTCCAAGCAGCACCTGCTGCGTAGAAGCCAATGACTGTCTTTCACCTATACAGCCCAGGAGGTGAGATAGATTGATGTAGTTGCGTTTCCAGAAGAGCTTAGGTCTAGGTGGAGGTCAGGGGGTTTTATGGTGAGCAGCCTGCCTGCATTAAGTTAAGTTCCTTCTTTCTCTATGTGGGATTTTAGGATGAGTGGGATCCTGGAACTTTAGTTTTAAGTGAGTGAGTGAGTGGACTGTTTCCTAGTGAGTGAGTAGGTACCTAGATAAATGGTTATAGGCAGGAATTTCACTTCACTTCCTCTGTGCTACTGTAAACAGATGCCAAACCCTTCATCCATCTCCAGAGTCTAATTGGAACTGCTCCCATCACCGAATCTCCAAATCCTCTTCCAGTCTCTCTAGGTCTCTAGTCATAAGCAAAACTTGAAAACAATGCTGTTTTGCCAAAACAACTGCTTCTTGGAGGTTGTTATAGCTACTTGCAATTTGAAGAAGCAGAATTTTTTTTTTCTTCTCAGTGGAAGATGACAGTCATCTTCAGTCTCCTGACTTCAGAAACTCTATTTCATTGTTTAAAACAATGCTCAGTATCAGTCACATCATAAATTGGTTGCATTAGCAATCAAGAAGCCTGGTGGCTACCTGTTTTCTATGATACTTGCCTAGTCTTGGGGTCCCGGAATGCAAAGGCCCATTCAGTTTCTTAAGGAAACTGAAGACCTGCATGTAATGTGGGCCTTGTTCCACATTTAAAATTGGACGTTTCCATTTCTGAAGAAGTGGCAGCTAAGGCCTGTTAGCTATGAAAGAGAAATGCCATTAAAAATAAAACTAGGAGTCAGTATGCAACAGGTTCCTTTGCAATTCATCATCAAGTTGTGCCATGTCACTAAATACTGTGTTGCAGAAAACTCATTTTCAGGTTGGCAGTACAAGAAAAGCCACAGTGTACATAATCCCTGCTTTTCTCTCCTCTCCACCGCACCGCAGCATGTGCAAACACTCTGTCCACTTGCCACACAACCAGCCTAAGAGGATAGCCACTACGGAGCAGCATACGTTCAATTGGAGTTTTGCCTTAAATGGCTTTACTGAAGGATCCTACAAGCATCCCCTTTTTGTCACAAAGAATAAAAAGATGAGCAGGTCACAAGTGAGAGAGAACAGGAATGCAGAGGCAACCTGAGAAGTAACACTTCATATCGGTCCGTACACTGACTAGATCTCTTTATGTATCAGAATAGCCTTGATTGATTGATTATCCCTGTCCTAACTCTGTACTATCTCTGTGTTCTGGCTCTTGGGTTGCTGCAGGCAGCTTGAACCCACTTGGGAATGTAACTCCCATAACTATTTGTTGTAATTTTGCTCATTTCTATTACAGAATTCCTTCTGCTGTCTTTTTTAATTTGTAACTGGCTTTACAAGATGAAAGTTTAATAAATTATTGGATTGCACAGGCTGTATTCACTCACAGACATTGTGTGCTCACTGTGCTTAAGGTGTTTACTCAGAGATCTAACAGAACTTGTAAGTGAAAAGTAGGCTTCGATGGTATGAGGAGACAAAAGCCCTTCCTCTCAGACGCAAATTTTGCATTTGTGATGAATTAATAGACGGTAATTTGCCACTGCACTGGGGAAGGTTTGTTTCCAGGTTCTGCTGCTCTCTCTGGGGCTGGGTCACACCTTTGGTCAGTGGGAGATGTCCCACCCAAGTTCAAGGGACTGGTTCTGAGATGGCTACTGTGATGAAAGCAGAGCAAGGAATGAATAGTCTCCAACATACCAGTCTGCAGGATCAGCTCCATCCCTTCTCTTCAGCAACTCCAAAGTCACTAATAACAGAAAAATCGCTTCCAGCTCAAATACGCTGCCATCTGCACTTCTCTTACAGTAGTGTTCACCTAAGAGCATGTGTCACTAGAGCGGTAAATGTGGACTGGGAGCAGTTGAGCTGTCAGCAACGCAGACAGACTGTCCTCCAGAAGACAAAAGTTCCCTCAGTACATACATGGGTACAGAAACCAAGCATTGATGCATAATCCGCATTAATATGCTTTCATCTATCCCTTGGTCAGATGCTCAGACAGCCTTGAGACCCTGGAGATAGATAGGTATATGCAGTTTCATCTCCAGCTGTTCACAGATTTTCAGTTTCTTCATCCTTACCACCTTTCCAGGTCTTTAGTTGAGGCTGGAACTGCCTCTGCTTACTTCAGCAGTTGCTTTTCTTTCCTCTTTTCTGTGTACTTCCAAAAACATGCTACCTCTGCCTCCTTTCTGCTCAGGAAGCCTGAACTCACACACAGGCAGCTACCGCTTGTCTGGGTGGAGAAGGGTATCAAAAGCAAACACAGGCTGCTTGGCCTACACGTCTCTCCCGAACAGCCCTCTTGTGATAAAACCCCTCTCCGACACACCAGGGTCTGGCACGGCCTGTCTCCCCCACTCACCGCCTGCTGGGCTGCGACTAAGAGAAGCTGAATTTTTCTCCTGGTGGCAAACAGAGAGGCCAACCCCAGTCACCATGGGTTAAAGCAGGAGCCACCTAGCCAGTCTCACCAGTTTGCAGCTGTTGAATTTCAGACTCTGCTTGCTTCATCTGATACATCACTACCATGACAACAAACATGCACCGCTGCATGTCCAGCATGCACAAATTCATTTACGGCTCTGGTTGCAGTGAATAACCGCCCAAGGCGACGGCTGACTAACGGCATCCTCCCACTCCCCCTCCAATTCTGTTTTATCACCCTGTCAGGGTGCTGTGCAGTCCCTGCTGGCCTCCACCCCCCTGCTTCTCTAATACCTAATTCAAGTTTGTATGTTCAAATGTTTCTTTTATATGAAATAGTTTCATGCCAATGGGTGCTAGAGTTAGTCTTTGGAACAGAGTACAATTTATAATTAGCACCTACACGGTAATCATAAAGTAGGTTATACGCAAAATCACAGCCCCTGGTAAGTTATATCACAAGCACATGTATCTAATTATTAAACCAGTTCAACTGTAAATGTCAACTGTTTATTTATACCTTGTTCTAAAACACACAGCCTTTCCACGTGTAGGCTGCATGTTGTATCATTATGCTGTGCATCGACTTAAAAAAATGACATGATCCCCTTGGGCGTTTACGCAAATCCCTTGCACATGAATTCCAGCCCCCGTTGTAAAGCAAACACAAGCTCCTAGACCTGTGGATTGCAGATTCGCTAAGCGCTTGTCCACATTTTATACCAGATATTCCTAACGCTACACTTGGATGTACGCTTTGGCCCTGTGCCACTGTCAACACAGAGGTGACTGACTGCTGAGAACGCGACCGCCAGTAAAATCCACCGATCTCTACCTGCCGTTTCAGTGCTGCCCTTCAAGCACGGCTGCATGCTGCACGGCCTTTGCAACCTCAGCAGGGCGGACGCCTCCTCACGGCGTACCTGAACTCCGCGCCGGTCTTTAGGTCTGGATGCAATCAAGAGCAAAGGCATTACGTTGGGCGATTCCTGGTTCTTGCCAGACGTGCGGTACCCCCCGGGCAGCCCGGCCGGCCGCAGGGAGCCCAGCTCCATCGCCTGCTAACGCTGCGCCCCAGGATGCGTCTGTGGCCTCCCACAGCCCTCAGGCACGGCTCCCCCACCGGCACGGTGGTGCCTCGGGCCTTCCCCAAAATGCTGTGGTGGCTCAGGATCACCAATACAAACACATGCCCTTCCTGTAAAGGCAAACACCTGAAAATGCTGAGTGGCTCTTAATGAAATAGAGACAGCCTGTCAGCATAAACTCAAGTGGTTCTGTAACGGCTTAGGCATTGGGCACAGTTTTTGCAAGTGCAGCAATTAAAGCACACACGTTCATAGGAGCAACTTACCTGTCTTGCTTCTTCCTCCTGTTGCAGCGTGAGGCCGAGGGCGACGCAGCTGTCCCCAGTCGTGCCTTGTCAGGGTGTGCCCATGGGCAGAGCAGTATTTAAACCAGGAGCCTTCTCCTCCCAGCTCCCCTGGGATGGCTGCGTTCTCCTCCCGGTGCAAAGCTGATGCAGAGGAAGGCCTGTGATGAAGCGCTCGGAAGCAAGGCTGGTCCTGCAAGGTGGGACTGGTGCGGGGTATAAAGACGCTGAACCTGCGTGGTGGTAGAAGCCCTGGCTGCAGAAGGAGGGGAGGTGTGGAGGGACTCCCCTGGGGCTGGAGGAGGCAAGCGCTGGCTGTTGCCCGCGGCAAACTCCTCCTTGTTGCGCTGTGAGTGCTTGGGCCGGGGTGAGAGCCGCTCTCTCCCGGCTGCTGTAGGTTTATTGCTCGCAGAGGAGGGGGACGGACTCGCCCCTGCCGGGGCCGTGGTGTCCTGGCGTCACGGGACGTTCCAGCTGCCCGCGCTGGCTGTTCTGGCCCTTTCCCAGCCCCTGTGCCGGTGCAGTGGGGCTGGCAGCCCCTTTCGGGATCACGGCTGCGCTGGGCCGGCTGCTGCCCGTGAGGAAGGGGTGCTTTCTGGTGTCCTTT